AAAAAAACACATTAAAAATTAAAATAAAATAAAATAAATAAGGCAGATCGCCTCGCTTCAACGAGGCGATCGCCTGGCCTCAGGCGAGAGGCGCACAAAGGCGCACCGAGGCACACCGAGGCGAGCGCCCGATTGAAGGCGCTCGCCTGGGCACCTTGCAAGGCGTACCTGGGCGAAATCGCCTCGCCTCTCGCCTGAGGCGAGCGCCCGGGTGCGCCTCAACAACACTGCATTATACCAGTGAAGGGCACACCAATTGGGGACCATGACTGTACACTGTACAGTACCCCAATATCTAAAAGAACCTTCATTCTTATCTTCAAAGTTCAAATAACATTTTTGTTTCTTTGAATTCAAATCAGCTACAGCAAAGCTTTTAACTCCATTCTTTTATAAAATTTTTGCTTCACTGTTCCACCGCCTGCCTCAGAGGAACTCTAGCAGGAAGCTGGAATTATCTTTTGGGAGACAGCATGAGAAGTTAAAGATTTTTAGGAGACATGTCCAAAAGGCCCAAAAACTAATGCATACTGCTATTACGTCATATTCATATTTGTATTTAAGTTGATAAGATCACCTCTGACATTTAATGCAAATTTACTAGAAACACACAATCAGCTGTAGTGTCTTCCGTAGATTGGTTTAGATGGCCTGCTGTTTTCTTACAATCCTTCAAGGCTAAGGATGTGTTTGTAGGATCTAGGACTCTGGTGTCTTAAGGTTGGGAAAAACAGTATGTGTCCCTGCAGTTCTGATTTCTTTTGGATGCATGCTATTATTTTAGATTTACCTTTAAGACGTAAATATATTCATGAAGAAGTTGTTTTTGTCTATCTAGCTATGTCTTATTATGTTATACATCTTTCAGGTCCCACCTGGTGAATATCGCCTATCTGCGATGGCACTTTCTCCCGAAAGTGCTCCTGGACTACTGTTCTCGCCATCTCATGTTGATGTTACAGTCAAAAGCCCCTTACTAAATGTTGCTTTTTCACAGGTAATATCTTAAATTTCTGTGGACCTCTTTAGTCTTATGGAGCCCTTACTGCTTTTAGACTATTTGTGAAGCCATTAATAGTTATGCAACAGATACTCTCATATCATCTTTCTGTTTTTGGACTAGTTGTTAGATTTTGCATAAAGAATAAAATATGAAAGTTCATACATCTTAAAGTTGTTTCTAAAGGACGAAAGATACTTTTTCTCGTTCACATGATAAGGTTCTCTTTCTGTTTCCATTGATTTTTTATTTTTATCTTTTATATCTTACCAATTGATTATCAAGGCACTAGTCAATATACTCGGTTCTGTAACATGCAAAGAGAGATGTGGTGCATCAGTATCTATTACCCTTCAGAGATTGGCCAGTAATCTCGTTAGTGAGAAGAAGACTATCAGTTTGACAGAGGAGAGTACTGAGTTTCTATTTCATGATGTCATCCCTGGAAAATACAGGATTGAGGTATAGCTGTTTTACGTCGTCGTTTATTTTTTATCACTGGTTACTTTTGAGTTAGTGCCGTGCCTTCTCATGATATTGTTTATTGAAAATTACAGAACTTGGTGTAAATGGAATTGGTACATTGTTTTCCCCTGCCCTTTATATTTTTGCATCAGTTACATCTGAGTTACAGTGTTGTTGTTGATATGGGGGTCTTTAAATTATATACATTGGTTGCGTCATCCCTACATTTTATTTGTTAATATAACGTTTCTTTCCGACAGAAAAAAAGAAAGGTTTTGATGTAATTATTTTTTTCATGAGAAAACAAGCTTTTGTTGAGAGAAATGAAAAAGTATACAAGGGCATACATAAAAAAAGAGCACCACAAAAGTTGTAATTATTAGCACCATATCCTTTGGCATTTGTATGTTGAACATAGATATACTTGCTGAGTAGTTATCTGTTAATAGGCTTCGCACTCATCCCTTCAAGGCATGGTTGGTAAAGATGATTGGTGCTGGGAGAGCAACTCAATTGAAGTGGATGTTGGCATTGAGGATATACATGGAATTGAATTTATTCAAAAAGGTTACTGGGTTAATGTTATATCTACTCATGATGTGGATGCTTATATTTCTCAAATGGATGGGCCGCCTGTGAACTTGAAAATCAAGGTTAGTTCAAGTCCCAAAGTTTTGTTTTACTCCCTATGGATGCACTAGGCACCAGACTGTAATTGGCTACCTGTGCAATACAGAAAGGTTCTCAGTACATATGCGCGGAGTCTCCTGGAGTGCATGAAGTTCAGTTTTCCAACTCTTGTATCTCTTTTGGGAGTTCATCAACTAAAATAGATACATCAAACCTAGAGGTATTGTACTTTTCCAGATTTTAGTTTGATGATTATACTTCTGTGAGATTAATCTCTCTTTCTTTTTTTTGTCAAATATATGTCAGCCCATCTATTTGAGAGGAGAAAAATATCTACTAAAGGGGAAAATTAATGTTGACCCAGTCTCACTTGGTGTATATGAATTACCTGAGAGTATTCTGTTAAACATTGTGGGTGCTGGAGGCAGTGTGATTGATAATACTGAAGCCAAACTTACCTCCAATGCCAAGGATCAATTAAGTTCTGCCTTGTACGAGTACTCTGTCTGGGCTAGCTCTGGAGAGGAACTCACCTTTGTTCCTGTGGATACCAGGTCTGCATACTTAGAATTATTACATTGGGGGCACTGAAATTGTAGCATTAATGGTTCCTTTCGAAGAATTTAACTTCAATTTTAGATAAATAAGGAGAGATAATCTCCTATGATTTATACTTACCTGTCTTTTTTCACATGCATCTTGAACACACATTCTTACGTTTAGTGGCACAAATACAATAATGGATGATCACTTTCTTTTTATTAGGTTTTTGGGAGTGATGTGAGATGTTCTTATATTGGTCTTTATTTCAATTATTTCGGAAGCTGTTTTTTACTCCCGAATAGATTTCATATTTAATCATTGTAACTTCGTGAGCTGTTTGTAGCTATCATGAATTCAACGAAAAATCTTGAAAAGAATATACTTACCTGTATTTTTTCACACACATTCTTACATTTAGTGGCACAAATACAATAATGGATGACCGCTTTCTTTTTATTAGGTTTTTGGGAGTGATGTGAGATGTTCTTATATTGGTCTTTATTTCAATTATTTCAGAAGCCGTTTTTACTCCCGAATAGATTTTATATTTAATCTTTGTAACTTCGTAAGCTGATTGTAGCTTTTCATGAATTCCAACGAAAAATCTTGAAAAGAAGATTGTCATATTTACTGTGCCTCGACTGCCATTTTCGGTTGTTTTTCCCTAGCAAGAAATTATTATAAAAAAGTTTGGAGAATTTGTTGTGAACCTTTTTTGAAAAAGAGTGGCAACCATCATGGGTGGCTCATTGGTTCAAAGGGGCTACGGTTAATTGAGAGGGAATGGGTTCAAATCTAATGATGGCTTCCTATCTTAGAAATTAATTCCTGTGTTTCCTGACATCAAATGTTGTAGCGTCAGGCGATTAACTCGTGAGATTAGTCGAGGTGTGTGTAAGCTGGCCTGGATACTCATGGATATAAAAAAAAAGGTGGCTTATATGATATGGCATTATTAAACATCCAATTAATGTATAACATGATAACAATATTAAATACAATTTTCTTCTATCATGGCTGTAATCCTTTAGCTTGGGCTTTGTCCTCTCTTGTATATTTGGTTGATGGGCTTTGTCTTGTGTGCATATCATTTCAGCAGATGTTGAATGAAGACTTCTAAAGTTGAAAGGTCGAAGTCAGTTTCCTATGTGTTTCTGTTGAACTAAGTTTTGCATGAATCATCTTATCTTCACCTCCCCAACCCCCTCCATTAAATAAAGAAAATCATTTAAGTGAAAATGTTTGGGTTTAATTAAAGAAGAATTTGAACCTTCACCTATCTGATTGCTTTTAAGTTACATACTTTAAGCTCTTACTGCAACGTGATGTTTCTAACTTAAAACTGTGGTGGTTTTAGGAATCAGGAGAGGAAGATCTTGTTTTATCCCAGAGAGCATCATGTGAGTATTATTTTTTCTTTTCTTTTAAGTTTAAGAAGTATTGTATGGTCTATTATAATGAGCTCCATGTCTAATATGTCTTCATCAGGCCTTGGTGAAAAATGATGGGTGTCAAGATTCTATCCCTACATTTTCTGGTCGGCTGGGTTTATACATTGAAGGATCAGTTTCTCCCCCTCTTTCTGGCGTTCATATCAGGATTATTGCTGCTGGAGATAGTTCCATTGCTTCCCTCAAGAATGGGGAGTTGGTACTTGAAACTACCACTGAAAGTGATGGCTCATTTGTCGGGGGACCTCTATGTGACGACATAACTTACAGAGCTGAGGCTATGAAGGTTTGGAATGTTTATTTTGACAGTCATTTTTCATTCTCTCCGTCGCATACCTGATATTGTCTAGAATCCACAACTTCTCCTTTCATTTGTTGTAGTTTACTCTTGTAAAACAAAATTTGTTGTACTTTACCATTTATTCCAGTTACTGTAATTTTTGTCCTCTCAAGTTATTTAGCTGTTGGCTTCCATTGGTTGACTATCAGCCATTTTTTATTTCCGATAATCAACAAATTTAATCGAATTTGAAAAATTACAAAAATGGAGAGGAGTACTCTCAAGTCTCACCCAACCCAAGTGAAGGAGTTACTAAGGACCTCCCCAGTTAGAAGCTATATTAGAGATGGAATAATTACAAGATTCTGAAAGAAAACTGCAAGAAGCCAAAAAAAAGGGTCCCAATGTTTTTGTATCCTAGAAAAGTATATTATTTCTTTCCAACTACACCTCTTGAAATAAATCCCTAATAGCTTTCATCCAAAGAGCTTTGGCTTGCTTTTTGAACTGACAACCACCTAAACCATGGCAAAAGTTGTTTCCGCACAGATAGAGAATGTGAAATATGAGTATTCTATACATGAGTTGCAGTTTTCTGTACTTGAACAAATAGTAGCAACATTATGCAGGGTACACTTAGGCTGTTACTCAAATTTCATGTGCTGTTTAGTTAATAGCCCGTCTTTGTGTTAGCTACCCTGCTGATGGGTTCCATTTTTTAATTTTGTTTACTGGATTCTTGCTGCTTTTGTTAGTTAGTTTGGTTATTACGTATTAGATAATTAGTTGGTTTAGTTACTGATGGAGACTCTCTTAAAGAAATGTAAGAAGAATCTCAATCTATCTTTATTAATTGAAGGAGTATCCTATATATATAGGGATTACAACTAACGGTAACTAAAGTAATTAACAATAGCTAACAAACAATAGTAACTTGTAGTTACTATACAGTAAAAGTGTTTGTAACCTATAAACTAAGCTTATATCATTAAACCTTTTTAAAACTACCCAAAGCCATAAACGGCTACATCAATTTCCCCCTCCTAAAAAAAAGAACTCGTCCTCGAGTTAATCTGCTAATGCAAACTCATCAGGGGATGGAAAGGGTGAATATCCGCAATATTGAAGACCAGGCTGATATGATAATTGGTTGGGAGGTCAATTTTGTAGGCATTGTCCCCTATCCATTCAAGTATAGCAAAATGACCCAGCTTCCTTTTCTTGAGTTTGTTATATGTCCCAACTGGAAAGCGGCTCTTCCGTAGATGGATCATGACAAGATCACCAACTTGGAATTCTTTAAATCTCCGTTTCTTATCTGCAATAGCCTTGTACTTAGCGTTTGATGTTTCTAGGTGTTGGCGAACTTCTTTATGTAATTGAGTAATTCTAGCTGCCATCTCCTCTGCTTCCACACTAAGATCAACAGACATAGGGATATTAGTGAGATCTATAGTTAATCTAGGAAGTTTAGTGTATACAACCTCATATGGAGACTTCCCTGTGGTTCGGTTGCTCATATGGTTGAAGGCAAATTCGGCTTGTGCAAGCGCCATATCCCATTGCTTTGGAGGATCGCCACTAATACATCGAAGTAGATTGTCCAATGAACGATTTTTAACTTCCGTTTGGCCATCCGTTTGTGGATGGCTCGTAGTGCTGAATTTTAATGTTGTATCGAACTTTTTCCATAAGGTTCTCCAAAAGTGACTAAGGAACTTGACATCACGATCGGACACAATGGATTTTGGTATACCATGTAGACGAACAATTTCTCTAAAGAACAAGGTAGCAATAGAAACGACATCCGAAGTTTTTCGACAAGCTACAAAATGGGCCATTTTACTAAACCTATCAACAACCATTATGGAATCAAAACCCCTTTGAGTTTTAGGAAGACTGAGTACAAAATCGATTGATAGGTCTTCCCAAATACTCGCTGGGATAGGTAATGGTGTGTACAACCCCGTATTTTGTGATGTACCTTTGTAGGATTGGAAAATATAGCATTTGTGAACAAAGTTAGTGACATCCTTTCGGAGTTGTGGCCAAAAGAAACGAGACATAACGATTGTGATTGTTTTATCTCGGCCTAAATGGCCTGCTAACCTGCCTGCATGGACATCCTTTATTATAGCTCCTCGTACAGAAGTACGAGGGATGCACAAGGTATTTCCTTTAAATAGGTAACCATCAGTGTTTTCGAGGCGCGCCCAGGCGCTCGCCTAAGGCGCGGGGCAAGGCGTTTTGGCCTGGACGCGCCTTGAACGGCGTCGAGGCGAGCGCCTTCAATCGGGTGCTCGCCTTTGTGCGCCTTGGCGCCATCGCCATAAGGTGAGGCGAGCGCCTCTTTGAAGCAAGGCGATTC